AAAAAACCCACACACTCCTAAACAACAACAACAACAACAACAAACAAACAACCCTCCCTCCCTCCCTTTCTCCGTTCTGTCTTTCTGTCTGTCTGACTTTTTCTTCATGATAGTGGGTGGTTGGAGCGCGCCTTTTGATTTGCCCAAAGTGCCTCAGTAACAACACAAAGTTGACCAAGTGTCTCGTCTCAGTATGTGTAATGGGAGGGGGCAAAGATCATCTTTTTTTTCCTTCTTTCCCTCTGGGATATCAAAGTATTATCTTATCTTATCTGATCTTATCTTAATTAATTAATTAATTAATGCAGGTGGTTGGCTGGTGCTCTAGTGTGGTTTGCTCCTTCTTTCCTGTCAAACGTCTGTCGTCCTGAGTGGGTGGTTGGCGGGTGCTCTGGTGTGGATTTCTTTCCTATCACACATCTCTCGTCCTTATCTCCCCTTCTTCTTTTTTTATGTTTGTTACTCTCTTGTAACACCTCTAATCTTCGGCGCTCATATGACCTTATGGAGTTGCGAGCGCCGTAAAACCTCTGCTAAAAAAAATAAAAATAAATATCGTCCTGATCTCCCCATTTTATTTTATTTTTTGTGTGTAAGTTACATACTCTCTTGTATCACACCTATTCTTCGGCACCTTCTTGTATGACCTTATTGTGTTGCGAGTGCCGTAAAAGTCTTCCTAAAACGAAACTTAATTAATGAATCTATTTTTGCCACCCCCCAGCTCGCATCGGACGGAGCCGTCTGTCAAGCAGTGACGTAGAACACATGCTGAAGAACACGCCCACACTGCACCGCGGCAGTGACAAGCTCTTCCGGAAGCTACATGACAGAGGTGAGCCTTGTGAAGACCCTGGCTGGCCCTAGCACGGACAGCGTCATGTAGCCTACAGTAGTTTATGGGAGCTGGTCCCCCCCCCCCATCCTTCTCAGCTGTTTATTTATTCATCAACTCAACCACGTTTATTTTTATGATGTTCCCGGTGAAGGTATGTGGGTGGTACTCTGGACCATTCTGAAAATATTAAATTAAATACTTTTTCCCCTTGCCCATTTCTATGAGATTGACGCCATCTGACTAGTAGAAAAAAGTGCGTATAATAGTGTCCAATAGTGTATTACATGCATACTTAGTATGACAAGTAACTGTTACAGATAGAGATTCCAGGATTATAGATGTAAATCATTGATCTGAGAGCAATGATGATTTTAGAAATAATGGTGGTGATGAGTGATGATGTGGGATTGATTTAAGTAATGTTAGCGTTAGTTCTATCTTCCTCTGCTCCAACGAGTCACGAGAGATGGTGGTGTTAAGTGATAATGTGAGATGGTGTTTATGTAAATAGTTATTGAGAAGTCATTCTTCTGTGAGTTGAGTTGTTTTTTGGGTTTTTTAAATGCTAACGTTAGTCCTGTCTTCCTCTCCCTGATGAGTCACGAGGGACGTGGGTATCCGCTATCCCGTTCCCTACTGGAACCATCTTTAATGTCACCGTGAAGTTCCGAAATGGTGGGCACAGTCTCTGTTAAGGTGACCTTGTTTGTACTAGCCTGTTCTAACGGGCCAAGACAAGTGAAGAGAGGACTTTAGTAGTTAGACAGTACAGTGGCAGACATTGTGTTGGGGATTTTGTGAGCGGGTTGTAGGTAGCAAGTTGACAACCAGGTTATAGACTTAATAATATACAATAGTCATATTCTACTCCCTAACCATTTATCCCAGTTATTCCTTTCGAGTTTTTTTTTTAAAACATGAAGTTGTGAAGATTCTGACCGAGGATCCTCGAACCGGAGTGAAGAGA